CTTGGAACTTCCATCCGGAGGTGTTTCCATTCCGATGTGCGGGAGTGAAACGGTGGCATTTGTCTGTTTTATGGGAGGCATTCAAGAGGAAATCGGAAAGCGCGGGGAGGAACATGGCACCACTGAGCATCGAACCCGCGCTGTGGTGGGCGATTCCACAGCAGGTTCCAAGCCGGATCGGCCACGGAGGAAGGTAAACGAAGTTATGTATATTCGAAAGAAACTCCGACGTCATCTGACCGAGATCTGTTTCTATTTGGCTCTTCTGATGGGAATTCTCGTGATCTTCGAGCTGGACATAATATCGCCGTCTGAAGGTCGGGATCATCCGACTTGAATCATCACCCTTCTCTTCAGAGACCAATTCACGAATCTCATGCGCTCATGCGCATAACTTCGATAATTATCGAAGTTCCCTCATCCCCGACCCACATTCCTCAACAACTAATTCCAATACTTGCATCGATCTCATATACACGAGACCCGTCCGCCATCAGCAGATAAATGATTAACCACGTCGCCTATTTCAGTAATCACCAGCCAATATTCACAATCTTCAAATAACCAATACCCAAAATCACGACTGTTGGATTTATGGCTCAAGCATTCGACTTAGTTCTACGGAATTTAAGGGTTTGGCTCAGCCAAATACACTCAAACACACCACTGAAACACACCAGGGCAGGATCGATGGAGATAGCATGAGATCAGAACGGATCAGAGATTGAAATTGAGATCTTACTCAGTTGGATCGAGTGACTACAATGATAAGGATGAATTGTGCTGAGAGTGCCGCTGCGATCGGACGGTCTCTGCGCGATTTCCCCATTCACAGTCCGTCGAATCGCTCACTCAGCGCGATTGGAATTCGAGGTCAGGGGCGTACGCAGGGGGGAGGGGCTAAAGGGGCTATAGCCCCCTTCCAGATGATCCCTTCGTAATGCTGTAGTACAGGAGCGAGTTGCCATACAGGATTTCAGCCCCATGCGGAGACCCGATCTAGCCCCCCCCCCAAGAAAAATCCAGTGTACGCCACTGGGCGCCGCTATAGCGGATTTTTATACTCGAAATTTAACCATCGAGGATTCCGAGGAGTCGAGCTCGTGCAGACAAGCTTCAGAAGCATTGGACGGGCAGATACCCAGCTTAGTGCAGGCCCCAACCGATCATGATTGAACTTCGTCTACGTTCGCAAACGGTGAGAAAGTCGAATGCGATCTGAATCTCGTGCCTGCCGCGTCATTTTTGAACCAAGTACATCTTCCCTGCGCTGTGGATATATACACCTGGCCCAGAGTCCCGAGCTCGCGGCGTATTGTAGCTCAATCGAGGTCCTCCAATACGTCTCTTCATGGAGTTCCAACACTAGTTAGCTCATCGAGACAACAGAGTTCCCTCAAACCATCGAAATCGTTTGCGAGCAATGAGTGGAGGATGTAATACATCCGTGAGAGCGCCGCGGAGCAAGGGGATCATTATCGTGTTTTTTTCGGGCCGGATTCCGTCGGTTGAGAGAATCTCTTTCGGGGAAGCGTTGCGAATCCTTTACAGACCGCTTGTAGAGAAGATATTTACAACGGAGAGCGGAGTCCAGGGAACAGTCAGAACGTGGGACTCGATGACGGCTCGAGAGTGGAAGCGGAGCCCCGTGGATTCGACTCCGATCCGCTGAGGGCACACGGATCTCGCGTGAGGCTCAGGGCGGCGTGATCCCTCTCGGAGGGTTGGAACGCTACCGTAAATAGCCGTCATGGGTTCTCACGGTTGACGGTAGATCGCGGCTGCGTTCAGGTAGAGACATGTCTATTATTCTCATACCCTACAACCCACGCTCATAGCTTCGGAGTTCCATGGGAGTCGACGAGAAAGACAGGAGTTCTTTTTTCTGCACAGGCTCATGTACCGCCGAAGCACTCCAATACTCATAATGAGGGACTCCGATAGGTCCGCAAACTCGGTACACCTCATTTCCTTCGCTGTCGCAATCTATACATCTAACTAAAGCGACCGGCTGGATCGATATTTCCGTCTTAATATTATCCCCACGGAAAAACGCCTCTTTGACGAATTTTCCGATGGTCGTGACCTCGAGATCAGCTCCTCGCCACGCAAGAGGAGCGCTGAGCTCTTCTTCGCTCAAGAGGGCACCATCCTCTTCAGCCACAAACCTCGCTCGCCGCGGAATCTCATCGCTTGCCTATGTCCGCGTCGCTCTCGCGCAGTGAATTGACTCGCCCGATGGTTCCGAGCTACAGAAAACGGAAATCTACCTGGCTTCATCATCCCCCGGGGTCGGAATGCCTCGGAGGATACCAGCGAGAACGAAGCAAGAGCTCCGCCTTTCGGCAGGGTGGACTAGTCTGCTTTACGGACCGCCAAGACACATTTTACTATAGGAAGTTACGTTTATTTCTTTGAATATTCGACATCATACCGCTCCTTCTCATTGGAGCTGTTCATCGCACAATTCAGGATTGACTCGTCGGGGCTCGTCCGACTGATCGAGGTGCATATCCGCAAATCGCCTCACGAGTTCGTTGCGCACCCGGTCCATGTGGTCGACCGTCGGAGCTATTTGACCGCGCAAAGTCTGGCCTTCCCGATTTTGCTGATTGGTCTGATTCTGCCCTTCGGTCGGGCATAGCCCATAATGATATTGGTTGAATAATTCCCTGCGTCGCTCGTCGAACCTGGAATCAGAAGGAGAGAAATTAAAGAGACCGCGGTGCTGACTCCATGATTGATGATGTCTCCGAACTGAAGCTTCACAGCTTCCCCAAGATTCAATGGAGTCTGGAGCCAATGCCTCCTGACTCGATACGAATCGAGGGATGGGTTTCCACAAATTCGTTCGCAACATTCGACTCACCCCAATGTTAACAGCAGGCTCGGGGTAGACAGCAGGCTCAGGTTAGACATCAGGAACGGGGTACGCAGAGGGCTGTCTTTCTGATTCTGAGCCATCAGAAGTGTTCTAAAGAAACGATAGCTGACTTCTTAACCGAGAGTATGACCTTCCTTCACTGCGATCGCGAGAGGATTGTGAGCCTCTAATCCTGACGAAAGAAGGATTCCAGCGACGACAGAGACCGAGCCGATTGGGACAGTGACTTGAATGAGACTCGAACTCTGCTTATAAGCGCATGAATTTCGTAGGTTTCTATTTCGGAACTCGCGGTGAGATGCCAGTGGGAGAGAGAACTAGGTTAGAGTTGGGGTGTCAATTGAAGAAGAGCGGCGGGAGGGTTATGCGATATGCCGCCTGGACATCACACAGCCGAAAGAAATACCGAGATTTCGAAATAATGAGCTGTCTTCCGAGGGCAGATATGTTCGACTTCTTCGGCGATAGAGAGATGGGCTAGAGGCGAGGCGAGGCTCGGAAAGCGCGCTCGTTCCTCAGGAGTGTTCTCGATGTTGCTCTGGATTCCTGGTGTGGGCGCCGCCAGGGGCGTACACAGGGGAGGTGACGGCGGCAAGACCTCCTATTGACCGGTGATTTAAGAAATTCAAGGCTTTGCGAAAGAGCCGCAGGCGACTGGAAGTGCCGATCTCCGGGGGCAGAGACTCCGCATTGCGCGCAGAGTATGTGGTCCGTCGGGGAGTCGCGAAATTCCCGCGCTGGGCGACCTTCTTTCTCTAGCAGATTCTTGAGAAGCGAAATTCCGTCTCGCGACTTCAAGTCGCGTTCGCATATTTTGGACATGCTGATTTGATCTCCGGAGTTTTTCTTACGCTGAAGTTCGCGATGACAATGACCGCAGAATACGGATCTCGAAGCTCTAGCCGCGGAGAAAAACATCCAAAGCCCCTCCTCCCGCAGCGCCGGGCAGCATTACGCAAGAGCAACTTGACGCCTCTATTAGACACAGAAAACCAATCACCTTATCCCAAAAGGTGATTGACGATCCCTTGCCTTTGGAGAACGCATCCTCTAATGGAAATCGTGGGTTACGGACGCGCAAATCTGACGTCACTAGATCGTTCTCAAGCATTGAGTTTAAGGGCGGAGATTGTTCGCCTGGATCTTCTTTGGAAGGGCGCCGATTCTCTACGGTTCTGTATCGATCGGTAGGGGTTGATGGGTGTTCAATTACAGTGCTGTCAAACGAATCGTTTCTTGGAACGATGATACAATAAGAGCGATGTGAATATTATTTATCGAAAAAATAGGTATACTCATTGCTCAGAGAATGCCTCCTGAAACGTTCCTTTTCACCAGGAGGTTTCCTACCGCAAATGGGAATGTCGGAGCCTTCAGTAGACGCTAATGGGTGCCAGACGAGCTCGCCGTCAACTGGGCAGAAGGCTGGGCTTTTGAGTCGATTGATTTGAGACCGAAGCAAGCTCAATTCGGAAAATTACAGAAATAGAAGACAGATGTCAATATGACGAAGCAAGACCTGAGTTGAGACATGTACCAGCCGGGAACATAGGTCATTGATGGCATCCGAGCAGCCCCGCAGATTTAGCCTTGCAGATGAGAATAGAGATTTAGGAACAGATGGAGATGGAGGTGCGGGAGCCCGAGAAAAACTCTCCGCCGGCCCAGCCACCGAGTCAAGATAATCGGGGTCGAGTTCGGGAATCTCGAAGGCTACTGCCTGTCAACGGGGAGGAGTGAGGGCAAGAGGCCTGGTCGACGTCGGGTTTCATGAAGGACCTCGAGCCGTCGCGCCCTCCTCGCGTCCGTTCTTGCAATCTTCCGCGGTCATGCGTCACCAGAATCATCCTCGATCAGGAATGGGAACCATGACGTCCCTTATATTCTTCTACGGGGGTTCAGTTTCCGGTTCGAAATGCGGACTCTTAGTTTCTCAAACTACCGAAGCGCAAGCGAGGTAGCGCCCTCTACGGCATTCATCGCAAGTGCAGCATCACGTTCCGATCCATATGGTGTGACTCGCTGTTCGGGCATGACGCATTTGACTACGAACCAGATTTTCCCGATACTGTCCGGCTCGAAAGGACGCTGCAACTGATTCGGACCGCTACGGTGTCAGGCGTATCCCTCGGAGCAATAAGGACCGGATTCATTAGCTGTCAGTCGGTTTTCGGGACGCCACAGGTGCTCAGAGCATCAAACGCATACTCAGTCTACGCTCGCACATACGGTTTAAGGTACGTGATGTTGTTCTGACACTGTCCGGATATAGGTAACGCGCATGAGCCTGTTTATCATAAGGTGATCGATCTTCGAATTCGTTAGTTCTGAAAGAGTAGTTGCCGACGGACTCCCTGGCACCGTCGAAATCGTGGGAGGGATTCTTACTGAATTGGTGGTGAGTCGAGAACTCCCTTCAAGGTCCGCTGTGCTCGAATTATTTGCGGTGCACTTTTCGAGGATTTGGTTCGAGATGGAACGTCGCGAAGGTCCAGAGACAGAGAAATTACTCAACGGCAGATTCAGTGATGAAGATGAGGACATTTTGGACGTCGCGCACGAGAAGAAACTCAAAAAGTGAGTGGGGCAAGCGAGAGTCCGGGATGTCAGACGTAGGTTCCGTTTAGCCATGCAACATCAGATCGGACGATTGGTAATTCGATTGGTTTCCCCAGAGTTCAATTCGAAGTCGACCAGGTACAGGAAATCATGAGGGATAATGTGGAAAAAATCACCGAGAGAAGCGAGCGAATCATCGAGCTTCAGAGCAAGAGCGATGCTCTCAACGAATCCGCCGACTCTTTTCTGCAGGTCGGTCTCATTCCGCAGGCGATCCCCAGTTCCGATCCCGAGTCTTGAAGATTAAAATTCGATGAATCTTCTTTAGGCGAGCAAAAGGATGAAGCAACGGCTTTGGTGGCGAGAACACAGGCTCTTCCTCGCGGCCGGTCTGTTGGTCATCGGAGTTTTAGTTTTTCTCGGTGAGTCATGATAAGATCGGCGTGAAATCTCTCATTGAATGTCCTCCACGGTGAGGATGCTTATCAACCTTCGGGAACGCTTGCAGGAGTCCGGGTATTGTCGTAGGAACAGCGACCTCGAGTCGGGCCTGATATACATGGCCGGAATAACGGAGTCTGAATGTCATCGGACCTTAACGGGGAGCTGCAATCCAGAAACGTGAATTCGGCCTCACGCCAACATCCAGTGCGGCTCGAACGCGACTCACTCCTCCATAGAAGGTGCAGCGGAGACCGGAAACCTGGGAAGCTCGACGAGAAGAGCTGAGATGTATCGACTTCTGGCTCTTGTCCGCCCGTCTTGAAGCTCGACGGCCACCCAGTCTCGTCGCTCCCAACTCCTTGATCGCTCCATCGGGTCTTTGTTTGAGGATTCGCCGCGTTCCCGCGACCAGATGGAGAACTCGATATGAAGGCGGTCAGCCTTCGGCATCCAGAAAACTGCGTGCAGCGGCCGGTGGAGAGACACGGCATTGGTCAAGAACTTGTGGATAATAATCCTAATAAAATTGAGGAGCTCTAAAAAAGAGGAACATTCCAACCACCGGATATGCAAGTAAGCGGGCGAAATATCGGGTGCCCTGCTTCCTTCGCGCTTTTTCCGGAGAAGACGCTTGAACCCGATATTCCTGATGAGAGAAATCGTGAATGAAAGCACAGGCGGTGGCGAATGCTGATCATTCATTGGTTCATTGGTCGAGATGACAAAGAATTTATTAAATAACACTACCTAGGATAGTTACAGAGCAATTGTTTACATCCGGATTCGTATACACTCTAAACAGTGGATACATTTCATGAAACCGCCATTCAATGGCACGAACCATTCAATCATCATTCCACCTTCATCTTCTCGATCAGCTCGCTTTGACGGAGCGTGTTTCTCTCAGGTATCGTCGATAGTTGTTAAATCCACCATACTTTCGCGCGACCTTCACCATTCTCAGCGCTCTCAGTTCGTAGTACTGAATTCTAGCTCACCGAGGGAATCCTGGGGTCGAAAAACAATCGAACTGGCATAAATAAATTTAGATCTACCCCGGCTCGAAATCGCTGTAATGAGGATTCTGGAGAGGAACACCCGAAATTCTTCTTTGATTTCCGAGATAAATATCATTTGACTGAATCATACTCTCATTGTCTCGATTGGCACGTGCGACCGTTAAGCATCATTTCCATTCAATCATTCATCGTCATTTCAGTCCTCACGATTAAGGTAAGTCTCTACTACAGCTATAACTACGGTGGGAAGGAAATATATTTTGTTTAATTCTCAATAATTCTCGCACGAATCCCTCAAAGTCAACCTCCTCAGGGTCGATCGCTGCCGCATTTATACATCTCGCATCCTCAAGGAAGTGACCGCTTTCGTGATTTTTCGGTAGGTCCGTTCCGCGCATGCTCTCGATCGAGATTTTTCAAGACTTCTCCCTCAGACTTTCACTCACTAGCGGGAGTGCTACTCCCGACCGCCATCATCGGTGTCGAGGTAGAGCCCGTAGGGTCCAACGAATCGACGGTGGATTCCCGCTCTGTTTCCGTCGTCGACACTCCGGGCAGAGAAGACAGGAGACCGGCCGCGGCAGCAGTGGTTATCTGATCTTGAGGAGCGCTTGTTGTCTGAGCGGACATTTCGGTAGAAAGGATCGGAGTCGCCTCGGTGGTGCTCACCATTTCGGCTGTGGCCGGACTGATCGTCGTCACTGTCGCTGGCGTCATCGGAAGGGACGACGTCGTGGAATTCGAAGGCGATTCCGAGGTTCCGGCATCCTCAGCCGGTTTCGGTACGGAAGTGACCGCAGGAGATGCTTCGGTCGAGGGCTTCACGACAAGTGGTGGATACACTCCCTGCGCGGACTCGGTGGAGAAGCGGCTCAAAGCGACTCGCCTTTCCGAATCACCGTCCTGGATGACCTGGATCACCGGGGGTTGCGTCTGCGCAGCGTATAGTTGAGGTGGAGCCGGGGTCGAAGTCGTGAGATTTGATGCGTCAGATTCGTTCGCAGGACTCGAAGTCTCCGTGATCGACGGCAGCGTGGTCATCTGTGCCGATGGGTCTTCGCGTCCGTTTTCGGCCATGTCCTGCAATTTTTGATAGATCTATTGAGCGATTCCCCACCGAGCGAGGCCCCTCTCAATTAGAACGGGAAACTTTCTTCGGACTCCCGGCAGACTTCTGCACATCAAAGCCCGCTTTCCGTCGAATGTGTTGGGAAACTCACGCTCACCTGAGCAGGGATCGCCGTCGAGTTCTCCAATGGGTCTTCAGTGGACGTCAAGGTCGTCAGCTCTGACGGAGTCGTGGACGCGGGTGTTTCGGTTGAGTTCTGAGTCTCTATGACTAGCGAATAGTTCAACTCCGCTGCGCTGACGTTGTACGACGAGCGCCCCGTCACCTGGGGAGATGGTTCATTCGAAAAATCCTCCTCCACATAATGAAGACGCTAGTGATTATTTATCGACTCCCATAGAGCCGGAGCACTCGTCAATCTATCGACAAGTGATTCGAATGGATGGCTCGTCGATTCATCAGACGGCTGAGCGAATTATTCCCTGCTCCTCGAGATTTAAGATCGTATCGCTCCCACGAGGTGAATCCCGCGGAGGCTTTCGATCACAAATCAGGATCATCGGGATAAACGAACTCACTTTGTTGATCCACGGCAGCATAGAATGAATGCTTGAGAATGTCGTGGGTTGTTTGAAGAAGCGACCGCAGAAACGTTGATAGGAGAGGAGGCCAGCGAGTTTCCATTGCGCTCGGCCCGAGAGACACATCAGGGGTGCGCCGAGATCCGTCTGGAGGAAAGGTCTCGATTAAATGCTAATCATAGCGTGGCTTCCGCTTTAGCTGCACTCACTCAGACAGAACAGCACTCGACCGAGCTCAAACCGGTTGTGGAGAGATCAATCGACCTGACTCGAGCTGGGAGAAGCCATTCTGGCTCCGAAGAGGGAATTTTCAAAAAATTCGACCTACGTCGCAAGGCTGCCTGTTAGCTGCGCTGTTGACATCGGCCGAAGCACAGATCATCTGTTGGGAAACTTTCTTATCGTAGATGAATTCCTGGTTGCACTGCGCCGAATCGTTGATGATGAGAGGCATTTTCGATACGACAGTTGTGTAGTTGTGTGACCGAGGGACTCCATCGCCTAGAATAGGGGGAGAAGATTCCATTCATTTCCCCGGCCTGATCGAGTTGGGCCTTTCCCGATGCCCGCCTTCCATCTAATCTCCATTGCGACCCAGAATTCTGGGCCGAAGATTTATCCGGAGCGCCTAATGGATTCGGCTTACCGTAAGAGCCCACGAAACAAGTTATGCCATTCGCGAGAGGGTCGTCGTAAACGCAAACCGGTCGAATTTTCTTATTTTCCACTGTGAGAGGAGACTCGGAGCGAACCTAGAACAGCGAGCGACAGCCTCAAGTGAGAAAACGTGAGAGAGACAGCGGGATACCCTGGTTATGGAGGTGCGTCGTGTTTCAATAGAGCGATCCTTAGGGGGAATTACGAACCACAGCCAGGTCGTAGTCAGCGAGAATTTTCGAGCGGAACTGTGAGAAATGCGGATGGAAGTGGACATTCCTCGCTTTGAAAACAGTTTTGCGACTCGGGTCGGAAAGCGTGGTCAGGATGCTCAGCTCGTCGGCTGTTTTGAATTTGAGGTCTGAAAGGAACCACGTCTTTTAAAATCTGTCCCCTTATCTGGAAGGACCTTGGTAGAATTCGGGGGATGAGAGTACGGAGGAATGAGGAGGCGATGAAGGAGCGTACTTTTCAAGCACTGGGCTGAGGTGACCACGTGACGTGGAGTCAGAACCTGGCCGTGACAAGCGTCGGTCTTTTCGGGACCCTGGACGAGAACCAAGTAGGACCATGGGGACTCCTCGGTGTCGCCTTCGGCGTCGCGCCGTCTCCGCAGAAAGTCAATCTGATCGCTGTGAGTGCATGCTGAGAGCAAGAACGAGATTCAGAGTCGAGTTAGCGAACGGATCCAGCACGTGTCGGCGAGACATGACACCTATTAGATGATTTTGTCTCCCACGGGAAATACACCGGAGTGATCCACTTACTCAGTTCCTGGCATTTGACGCGGATCGCCGTATTTGAGCACTGCGTCGCGTTGCCTCGAATACCCGCTGAGAATAAGGAACCTGCCTTTGTCGACTCCCACGTGGCATATTGGCTTCCGTTGAGCTGCAATTTCACCTGGGAGACGGACGACGAGCGTTCCGTAATGAAGGCGAATGGGGGGAATTTCCGTGAATATAATATATTAGCTTGTGTAACGGAATCCCGTGTACGATGCTCACGAGTTCGTAGCTATCCGCTTTCTCGAATCCCATCTCTCGGCAAATACTGTCGACGTCGCTCGTATTCAGTTCGTCTCCACAAAGGAGTGTGAACTGGTTCTGGATTGGATCGAACACCTGAAGCGAAGGAGCGGTCGATCAGGCCCGTGTCCGGAATCAGATGAGGAACAATCCTTCAATCTTAGATCCAGACGTTCCTCAAGGACCATGGCTGGAAATTTCGGTGATCTCTGACCTGAACAGTCATCTTGTCGTCGGTCCTCAGGCAGTCAACTTCATCCGACCCATCTTTGCAGTCTAGTATTCCATCACAGCGCGCGTTAGGTTTGCTAACGCAAAACGCGTTGTCGCACTGGAACTGTTCTGGGAGGCATGTGCAGTTTTTCTCGTCGGATCCATCCTAAGAAAAGAGAGAATGAGTTGCCTCAACCCCAAACCTCGGTTTTCACTTTCGAGGGAACACTGATCGCTCCTCCTGGGTCAGCATTGTGTCCTCTCATCCCTGCTCACCTGGCAGTCCTTGAGCCCGTCACAGCGCAGCGATCCGTCGATACAAAGATCCTCCGTGGGACAGAAGAAGTTTTTCTGCACGTTCTCGCAGTCATTCCTCTCCTGACACTTGGATTCGTCTAGTCGGTCGCGACAGTTGAAAACTCCGTCACACACTTGGCTCGGTTTCAAACAGTAGGATTTGTCGGGACACAGAATCAATCCTTCCTCGCACTTGTCGAGACTTCCGAGGCATTCGTCTTCGTCGTCCGCATCCGGACAGTCTTTGACGCCGTCGCAACGCGCCTCCTGGAAATCGCGGAAAAATGAAAATCATCGTTTCGTGAACATGGATTCCGAGCCTCCGGTCTGAGTGAGCAAAGACTCCGACATCGATAAGCGCGAAAATCGGAATGCGTCGATCCGGAAAATATCCCGGAATCCGATCGGAAAATAAATCTAAATTGGAATACAATCTAAATCGGAATCTAAATAAATCGGAATTCCGAGAGACGAATGCCGGAGAATCGCGGAGAATCGAGACTCACCTGTGGGATGCACGTGGTCGTGTTTGCGCAGAGAAAATTCCTTCCGCAGGATATTTCCGTGCAATTGGCTTCATCGGTCTGATCGATGCAGTCGGAGAAACCGTCACACCTGAGACTGGAATCCACGCAACGGGAATCACATTGGAACTCGTTTTCTTTGCAGGGATTGCTGGGAACGGTCGTTGTCTCGTTGAGTGAGAGCGTAGCGACCTCTTCGTCCAAAGCTAGACCTTTACGCTGAGCAGCTTCCGATACAGCCGAAGTATTTTCTACGAGTTTCTCTGCACTCGGGAGATTCTCCTCGAGAGGGGTAGCCGTGATATTTTCCGTCGACGACTTCAGATCCATCGTGACGAGGGGAGCTGCGGAAGAATCCTTGGCGTTTCCGGTCGCGTTCTCGACCGACTTGTTGGACTCGGTGCTCGAGCCACTCTGGGCATCATTGTTGACAGTTCCCGGTTCGACGATTTTCGCCATGCGATTCGGAGCTGAAGTCGATGCTTCAACGGCGGCGGACTCGGTCGAGAATGCGGACACATCAGCGCGCTCCGAACTCGGAGTTTCTCCGGACGATGTCGCGGCGGAGGTTGGACTCGTGGCTTCGAGCGACTTGACGGTACTTTCGGCCGATTTCTCCCATAGGGATCCTTCCTTCAAACTCTTTGGATTCCGATTGTCTGAGGGGGCTGCTGTCGAAGTCTCTTCGGAGGTTGTTGACGCACCGCTCTCAAAATCTCCTCTCGGAGTAGAAGTCGAAACGGAACCTTCTGGAGACTCGGTTGCTGTGGTCGGCTCACGCGACGGACTTCTGCTGGTGATGACTTCTGAGCCTGAATCGGTCTCCTGCGAATCGGAATTCGATTCGGGTCGATCTGGCCGCTCCTCGGAAGATGGAGTTGTTAGTCCCGGGAGTTCGCTTTCAGACGATTCAGTGTCTGTCCTCTCGTGTGACTCACTACCTGGCGCTACTTGCGATGATGGCGCGGATGTTGGCTCGGCGGTAGACCCTGAATTAGATTCCGCAGATTGCTCGGGGGTGGATTCCGCAGCTGGCGCGGGCTCGGGCGTGGATTCTGCAGATGGCTCGGGCGTGGATTCTGCAGATGGCTCGGGCGTGGATTCCGCAGATGGCTCGGGCTCGGGCGTGGATTCTGAAGATGGCTCGGGCTCGGGAGTGGCTTCCGCAGATGGCTCGGGAGAGGATTCCGCGGACGGCTCGGGCTCGGGAGCCGGCTCAGCAGACGACGCGGGCTCTGCAGATGGATCGAGCGTCGGCTCCGCTGACGGTTCAGGCGCGGGCTCCAGAGTAGAGTTTCCGGCATTCTCCTGTAGAGACTTCGGAGACGGCTTCGCGGCTGGTGCTGTTGACGGGTTCAGAATCAACTCCTCGGATGACGGTGCAGATGTCGACTCGGACGACGCTTCTGGTGAAGATTCAGCAGAAGGTCCAGATGTGGGCTCAGTTCCTTGTTCCGATGACGCTTCGGTAGATGGTTTTTGCTCGGCCTCAGCAGAAAGCTCCACCGGGGGTTCAGCGGACGGCTCCGGAGTGGGCTCATCGGAAGGCTCCGGCTCGGACTCCGCAGATGGTTCGGGTTCGGACTCCGCAGATGGCTCCGGTTCGGACTCTGCAGAGGGCTCCGGCGTTGATTCCGCAGAGGGCTCCGGCGTCGATTCCGCAGAAAGTTCTGGCGAGGATTCCGCAGTTGGCTCCGGCGTCGCTTCCGCAGATGGTTCTGGAGCGGGTTCTGCTGAAGGCTCCGGTTCGGGCTCCGCGGATGGCTCCGCAGAAGACTCCGGCGTTGGTTCCGCTGATGGTTCTGACGGGGGTTCAGCCGATGGCTCCGGCGTGGGCTCAGCTGGAGGCTCTGCAGAGGGCTCCGCAGCAGGTTCAGCTGAGGGCTCTGGAGATGGTTCTGCTGCGGGCTCCGCAGTCGGTTCCGCTGATGGTTCGGGAGTTGGTTCGGCCTTCGGTTCCGACTCGCGAGCGCCTCCAGGTGAGGATTCGGATGAGATGTCGCCAGATTCTTCGAAAAACTCAGCCGCTTTGTCAGAGGGCAGTTCAACGCAGCTCCTGCTATCGTAGACGGCCCGCACATAATTCACCGGGCAAACGCAGTTCGGCTCGTCCACGAGATAATCCCATAGACATTCGGCAGGAGGGGCACACGGGTCAGACGAGCGGCACTTGTTGAGCATATCTAGGGGAATTACAACGGCATGAGCGAAGATTGAAGCGACTAAGCAGCGTGAAGAGCATGATGTGCAATTGGCCAGCTGACCGATCGATCGAGGCGAACATCTAACATCGATTCCACGCCTGAGGATCTCTACTGACTAACCTTGTGTCTGAGAGGCATCAAACATCGCAGCCATCTCACCGACTTGATTTCGGTTGGTCCGAAGGTACTCTTGAACAAGTTGGTTAACTCTTTCGGCAAGGTCACTCTGACCTTCGTCGAACTCGAAAACAATCTTCGCCTTGATTGACCCGCTCTCGAATGACACGATTCTAGCCCTGTGGATTCGAGAATTCTCTGAGAGATCCTTACGATTTATCGGCGATCGAATTGCACACAATTTTCTCGCCTCCTTCCCTTCCCCGGTCCGAAACTTCCCTCCGTACTTCGCAGAACCATCAAGTCGGAGTCTGCGGCTTCCAGACCACCCACTCACCTCACTAATGTATTTTCCAATCCTACCAGCGCCGATGATAAGGCTTCTATCAGCGTTTTGTTCAATGCTGCGAATTGCGGTGACGTGTCATTCTGCAGGGCGACCGTGAATTGTTCGTCGGGCAGAGTCAAAGACACCAGGACAGCGTCCGGCATATCTGGAACAGAGAATTCGGTTCTGAAACTCTGAATTCGCCCTTTGAGCTTGGGGTCGGCTCATCAGGATGCTCGGCTCAGAATTAATATATAATAATAATCGAAAACTCGGAGATCCCCCGATGACTAATCGATCAACGCAGGAAGCGACTCCGCGCAAAGCGAGCGTCGAGGAACAAAGGAAGATACGCGAGGCTATACCTGTTGTTGTCAATGGTGCACCGTCGTCGGGATCTTCCGTCGCGGTATCTAACGAATTGTGATTGATTGGCATGGCTTCAGCATCCCGGAAGGATCCAACCTTGACGGTCGTCGGACTCGAGCTCCTCGATCCTACTGGAAATTCGGAAGTTCACCTCAGACCGCGAAGCGTTCAAGAGCGCCACTAGAGGTATTCGGCTATTCTACGGAGTTCGTGTCGATAGCCTCAACTCAAGGCGTAAGGCCGACGTCGCGTCACATCGATTCTTTTCGCAACGTGGTCCGTCCCGATGGATTCGCAGGCGCCGATCCTGACACATGTCGGGAAACCGCGATCGCTAAGCAGAAGAATTTTTCGGCTCCACCGTGTGAGTTCCGATAAAAGAATTTCATCCTACGCCATCGTCAAAGCCTATGAAAAATTCTGCCTTCGCTAGAAGAATGGTCTTTTAGCGATTATCATTATGGTGTTTCAAATTGAGTAGCTATTGAGTAATCCTGGGTTAACTCAAACAGATGCTAATGAGGGTCACGAGGGTCGGGCCGCCGTATCGCCTGGGGTCGCAATCATCTGAGGAGGCTGACGGGCCACTCCAGCCTGTCGCCAGAGTGCGCCAGAAAAACGTCCGGGTAGTAGTATTTCAATAGGTACGCCTCGTGAAGTGAGCGAGGAACATCTAGATTATCATCGATCGTGTTCTCGTGTTTGTTTTTGGCAACGAGCGAATGATCGATGACGTAGTACAGCATAATGTCAGCACATCGATCGCGGGGAACGCGGGAGACGACGAAGATGACAAGAAAAACTGAAGCAACGACAGAACTCTACGCGCGTTAACACGTTGGAGGCCGGCGGATCATCGGGATGGGGTTTTTGCGTGACAACATTCACGGCAGCAGTAGCAGCGGAATCGTTGCCGGTGCCACCACCGACATCGTCTATCCAAAAAACAATGAAGTTCAAGGGAAATGAATTTATGTCATCCGGCTCGAAGATTCGCAAGCCTTCTGGCAACGGCTCGGTGGCGTGGATCACAGACTCTGTGTTTTACTTGTGCGTCGGTGTTCCTGAGGGAGTGACCGCGGACCTCCCTTGGCAAACTCTCCATATAATCGTTGTCGGAAACCAACACCGATGAGGCTGGATTCCAACTACGTTCAAGTTATTCAAAATATCTGACGCTCACCGAGTGAGTATGCATGGGTATAGCAATTTGTGCGATTGTTGATCGAGCTTACAGACGATAATCTCATTGAGAGTCGCTCACTTACCGGTCGCGAAAATTCCAATGGCAAGCGCCAAGGCCACCAGCAAGGCAAGTGCGCCGAGCATGGTTCCTCTTTGACAACGTCGCGTCATTTTCGAATGCGTTCGAAGATCCGTTTCCGACTTATTCAGGTACAATTTCTCACCCCTGTAATCAGGAAACAAGGAAAAGAGCGTCAAGAATTTATTCTCTCTCAGATGCCGAGATCCGTGAGACTGCCTATAACAATGGAACGTGTTGCAGAGGGGTCTAGACGTCGCGTCGCTCTCCCGTCGACTTGTCGACGAGCCGAGAGAGCGAGTATTTATTAATTGATCATATACGGTGCTGGAAGACCGAATCCTTACAGAGACTTTTCGCCTCGGAGAGCCTGCCGAGAGGCTCGCGCTCATATATTCGTACAGGAAATGAGGCAGACGGTATCTTTCGAATCAAGACTTCGATGATGTTCGACGGATTAGAAATTATCAGCAATTCACCAACGAAATAAATTCTTTCGAATCTGCATCGTATCCTTTCCGACATTTCCGGCAGAATGTTCAACGATTTGCGGAAGGTGAATCGCTATCGGCTTCAGAATTATATTCAGTCAGTGTTCGGACGTTATATCTATTCGTGCGGCAGATGTACTTCTGGTAGTCCCCTATGCAATCGGCACACGAGTGGGTACGGGGGCGCAGCCCTGGAACAGCGTGGGCGGCCCAAGCCGTAGGTATTGGAAATTCACTTCTGACTATAGGAGAAAATGCTTTTGAAAAGTCCGATTTCGAAAGTCCAGCCACACCGTTGTGGACAAAGTTTCCTCGTTACAAATCTGTCAGCTGAGCTAACATTCGGATCATTGAAGAAAGCATAACAACGAGCAGAGCGAGGTAACTTTGGTCACAGTCTCGCCAAGTTCGGTATTTCCGAATAACAAAACCAACAAGAAACGTTCCGAATCGATAGATTAGAATTATTACCTCACCCACACACTCACGCATACAAGCGATGAAAGATCCGGGAAGGATGAATAGCAACACAAAGTCGAAAAACAATCAATATGATTACTATTTATCATTCTTCAAAGTCACTCGAGTTGCGATGAGACCTCTCTTGTCGGGGTTCCTTCTCACGGATTACGATCCTCATGTTAATAAGTTGTTTTGTTGCGAAAAAGCCGACGGGAGCACTGCGCTTCTGCCGCTCAGTTAGACGCGCACGAATTCCTCAGTGAGGGATTACCATCGTCTCACCTGAACTCTGAATTGGAACGAATACACGATATTTTTTGAAGCAACCGAACCATCCGGTTCGAAATCATCGTAACTAGCGATAAAAGGAGATCCTGCTCCCTCGACAATCTGACACCGGCAAAGTGAGAGCTGTAGAATCTAACGGAAATAAAATGTACATCAGGAATGGACACGGTGACAGATCATAAGATTCTGTCGAGAGATTGTCGATCCGTCGGTCAACTGCCGCTCGAGCAATCGAAATCATAGAATGCTATTTACTCTCCCTATATCCTCGAGATCTGGCCTTTGCGCGGTAATGCGAAATCGCACTTTTTCAGTTTCGAGATTTGCATGTTTCTAAGGACCCCATCCATCTGAACGACTCGAGAATTCGGAAGGACGCTGAGCTTCGTTCAGGAGTCTTCTGACCCTTGTCATTAGAACATCCTGGAAATAAGGCGAATGCACCGTCGCTCACCCAGGCTGAAAACATGGAATCTAAACGAAACACAGAAAGTGGACGCCGCTTATCAAATCGGTCGGCCTTGCTGGGGTGAATTAAAGATGACACACACAGATATTTCTCCGTAGGTTGACGGTCAATGTCTACGGCTACGCAATGTCCGTGGGTAAGGCTGCCTGATCGAAGACCGGCGCTGGGGTAGCCAAAATCTGACCCGAAGCGAATACTGGCCGCCCCTGACCCATGAACCGTCAGCATCTGTTTCAAAACGTGATACAGATGCCGCTGAAGCTGTTCTCAAAGAATCAGTAGCTGGGCCTGCGTGCCAAGTGGCCGCCGATGGAGAAGCGCCACGGAAGCGTCGGGTTCCGACAGTATTGTTTCGGATAGGGGTCCTGGTCCTGACATGTACTGTTCTTACGATTGTATCGAATACATTTCTCGAGAACCTCAATTCCTCTTGAGAGTGATACTCTTGGTAGGTATCATGCATCCGCGACCGAGTTGGCATCTGCTCGGTTCAATAATTTGGCATCGCCTCTCTGATGAAATGAAGCTATTCAGCGCTTTATGCATGGGTCAACTGCAATGAGTTTCCGTCATTTTTCACAGACTCGAAAAAAAAAATGAAGTCGTCTGCATGTCTCATTAGCCGGGGCTCTTTCGGTAAAGTTTTGCCCACGTCAAAAATATGGACGAAACCGTGAAGACACTTAGTCCACGCCGTCTGTTGTCCTTCAAGTCGGAAGGTCCAACAATGACTTGTATCGGGTTTATCACCGAAAATTAGCGAACCGTTTCCACTCCTCAAAAAAAAATACGACGGCATCCCGAGCTCCTTATCTCTCTTCGAGGCTATTCTTCACGTAATTTTGTAAGAGCTTTCAATCCGAGCGTATGGGAGGTGTTTTAGAGCCGGCACGGAGGCGATGCCATGGAAAACTCCAACCTATGTGTAGGTGTCTTCGCACCCAGATTCGATCGCAGTGCACCAGCTCAGTACGTCGACTTTCGTCAGTGGTTACGTGGTTGACGTCTTAGAGAAGCATCCTGGTCGAAGGGAACGGATGAATGATCGTAGCGCTCCACTGAGGGGGAAATCTCGAATTTGGAGCCAAGCGACATCCTTCTGCAATTTCCCTAGCGACGTAGATGTAGACTTGAAGGCCCGCACAGTAGATCAGACGGAAGGACCGTCAGACGGATGAATCTGATCGCGGATACCGGTTCCGGGAGGATGCAATCTCTGGGAATCGACGAAGGAAGGAAGAAGTAACAAACGGCGCATGAAGATACCATATAGTGGCCTTCGGAAGTTCGCAGCGGTGATTCTCAAATGAAATATTCCATTCCTTGCCGTTGCCCCCGCTAATGGTGATCGGACAGAAACGAGCAAAGTCATTTATTTTGAGGTCCTCAACTTGTCTGTTTTAAATTGAGCAAATTGCAATTCATCAACGGTCCCATTTTCTCCTCTTCTCCTGTCCACCATAGAGGTCGACTGCGTAATCGAAGGATTGGGTGTTGCGGCGCAGACTATGAGACTAATCCTTGAGGTGACGAAGCTTGCCCCGGGGCTCGACAGGCTTCGTTCGATAGAGAGATGGGATCGCTAAACTGTCGCTTCTGCACGAGAGCACAATCTTCTGTCGCCTGGTTTTATGGGTACTCTCTGGAACCGTCCAGTTGTTTTTCTGGCCGAACGCGTCGGACCGAGGTCCGGTGGACTTTGATTGCGAAGCCTGCACGTTGCGTAGCTTTCGTAACAGCGGAAGCCGCGCAGCTGACAACGGAGACCCAGCGATGCGGTGAAGATCGCTTCGCTTTGACGGAGAAATGCTGAGTGCGGACGATCTCCACAATCGCCGAGAATCCACCGTCAGCTTCGATGACGATCGGGCAGGTCCATCGAACATATGTCTCACAGCCGGAGCCAACAGTGAACGCTCTGTTGTCTACCGAATTTTCGTGAGGTACGAAAGCGTTGTGTGCATTCCTCGGCTGGAGGACCCATCATTCTCCGATTGAGTTGGATAGAGCGCTCTGCGATATTCGTGTGATGGCCGCGGGATACAGCGCCCAGTGCGTCAGCCGGTCGACCTGTCAGAGCACCGGCCAAGGCTATCGTCAATTCAATTTAGTTCAAAATTCATTTTTACTTTCAATAATGGCTCCCCCGAAGGATTGACGCACGACCGCAGTCGTCAAAGTGCGGAAATTCCCGCAATGCGTTGCAGCGAACACCTTGCGGCGTCTATACAGACGATGCGATGGCGGCGCTGGATCCCGATAAGTTCCAGAGGCCCGACGCCGTCAAAGTGAGTCGGAAGTTCTTCAAATTTCTGGCCCCGAGTCAACACTTCCCCGCACAGAACACGTCAACTATCGTGGACATACAAGTTCCCCGAAACACAGGTTTTTGAAGAAACCGTTCCCCGAACTTCCTGGGGCCGATTCTGTCAGCCCGATAGGAACAGAAGTTCCAGCGGTACTCTGATCTGAACTAGAAGCAAATATCGCCCCTTCCGACGAATTAAAACGATCGCTTCTCTCTTCCGGATATTAGCGCAAATATTGGGAATTATCGCTTGCTCCTTGTTTCGATTCGCGTGGGGCGATGACGCAGCGCCTTCCCGATCGGCGGCGTCGGCAGCTTTATCTCGTGTACTCAATGAATTTAAAACCGATAGGGAGGAAACAGCGTTGCCGAGAGCGCGTCGAAGAGATACTGGACGCGTGAGTCAACGGGATGCTTCATTGATACGATTACGGTCGTCTTGCGGAATCGACTTCGGCCTTGGTCGATTGAGTTTTCCCCCCAAATCTCGCTGACTTTACCGTCTTGCTGAGGAAATCTTCCCGCCCGTCCTTTCGCTTCCTCCTGTAATTCGAGACGTCTAATGTCTGATTCCTGGGCTTCCTCGACAAATGCCAGTTCCAGAATCGCCTGATTCTCAGGGAGCGGTTGACACATCCTTCCAGATTAGAAGTTCGGCTCAAGGAAGTTTCCGTGAGGCTTTCTTTGTTGGAGAAGGAGAGACAATACGTCAGGCTGTATCTCCGTGATCAGTACGAATTGGAGATCCAATACTCCCTTAGGGCGTTCGAGCCCGAATAATCAAGGTTGTTCTCGCGATCGTATCAGCCATCGCAATCAGTTGAATGCCGCTGTCGAGAGTGACTTTACTGTCGCCCCAGTACATCATCGAGATAAGTAATTGTGAAAGACACGCTCTTATCCGACGGATGTTGGTCAGAAAATTCCATGTCGGTGGATTGTAGGAGGAATGATCGGTTGGGCGGTCGGTGGATTCTATCTACATCTATCGAATATGTGAGAGTCTCCGACTCTCTGCTTATGCATGTTCGCCCGTAATTGCTCCCTATCGCGAACGCATAGCGCGACCGGATCTCCTCGAATCTCCATGAGTTCGCCTGATTCCCATGCGTGGGCACAGACATGAAAA